TGCTAGTACTTTCTAGTATTATTGCATTGTTATCAGAAAGCATTTTTTGTAATATTGCTACTTTTCTAACGTTTTCTTCTTTTATTGAAACAATTGATTCTACATATTTGTGGGGTACAGAGTTGACTATCAGTATTTGTGTACAATATGTGATGATCAAAACAGGATACTTGGTATATTCATTATTACAAAATGTAAAATATAGTTTTTATTTGGTTTTTGGTTTTTGCCACAAAACAAGTCTTAATATATTTGAAAGGCCTAAGATCATAGAAAATATGTTCTCTACCATAATAACAGAAGGAAATTTAGAAAATGCACAGACATGTGGAAACAACATTAAACAACACTCTACTTATTAAACAATGGGTAAAAAGAAAAATCTCAGGGAAATTAGAGAGTACTTTGAGATAAAAATCAAAGTGCAACATATCAAAATTTATAGGACACAGGGCTCATGCTGTGCTTAGAGGAAAATTTATACTTGGAAAAACCTCTATTAAAAATAAGAAAAATCTCAAATCAGTAATGTAAACTTCTACCTTAAGAAAATAGAAAAAGAAGAACAAACTAAACCAAAATCAAATGTAAGTAGGAAATAACATAGATTACAACAGAAATATATAAAATAGGGAATTTAAAAAAATAGAGAAAATCAACAAAACCAAATGTTGATTCTTTAAAAAGACCAACAAAATTTGTAAACCTTTATCTAGACTGGCCAAGAAAGAAAGAGGGAAGATTGACATTACTAAAATCAGAAATCATTGCAAGGACATTAGTACATTGCCATTACGGTTTTTTGTGGTGGCAAGATTTAGTTACTTTTCTCTTTCTCATTTGCATTTTTGTTCTAACAGTGGGTTTTGTTCTTTCTTGTGTATTCATGGTAGTAACTACCATTTTTCAATTCCAGATGTAGGACTTCCTTGAGGATTTCTTGTAGGGTTGGCTGTGTGGTGGTAAACTCTCCCAGTTTTTGTTTGTCTGGAAAATACACAATTTCCTCCTCATTTCTGAAGGATAGCCTTGCTAGATATAGTGTTCTTGGCTGGCAGTATTTTTCTTTTAGTATTTTGAATATATCATCCCATTTTCTTCTGGCCTGTAGAGTTTCTGTTGAGAAGTCTGTTAGTCTGATAGGAGCTCCCTTATAGGTGACCTGATGCTTTTTGCTTGCTTCTTTGGATTCTTTCTTAGTCTTTGAGTTTTGCCAGTTTGAGTATAATGTGTCTTAGAGAGGATCTTTTTGGGTTGAATCTGTTTGGGGATCTTTGAGCCTCCTGGATCTGAAGGTCTGTGTCTCTCCCTATACCTGAGAAGTTTTCCATTATTATTTCATTGAATAGGTTTTCTATTTCTTTTCCTTTCTCCTCCCCTTTTGGAACACACACCCATGATTTGAATGTTTGTGCACTTAAGGTTGTCTGCTAGCTCTCTTAGATTTTCTACATTTTTTAAAGTTCTTTTTTCTTTTCTTTTTGTCTGCTTGGGTTATTTCAAAAAGACTATCTTCAAGATCAAAAATTCTTCTTCTGCTTATTCTAGGCTGCTGCTTAAGCTATTGGTTGTGTTTTTTATTTCACTGTATTCTTTTGCTAATGTCATTTTGGGGGGATTTTCATATTTCTAGTATCTCTGTGTTGGTGTCTGGTCATCTGGTAGAGCAATTGCTTCTTCTATTATTCTGGAGTGGACTTTAAGGAGAGAGATTTTCTCTTCTTTTTCTGGTCTCCGCTGGTCACTCTCCTTGTACCAATGGAGTCAAGTCTCTGGTGGGCCACCTGCATGGTGACTGTGGTTACTACTGTGGTCTCAAGCAGCTTTTGTGGAGTTGTGGTTGTGGTAGTGGCTGTGGTGGGACACCTGGGTGGAAGTGGTGTTTTCAGCACGCTTCAGGGGGTGCTGCCTTTGGTTTCTGCCTAGGACCTCAGGCATTGCTTTCATTCCTGCTTTCAGGGAGAGAGGGCTACCCTTGGCTCTTGCCCAGGACCCCAGGTATTGTTCTCTTGCTTGCTTCCAGATAGAGGTACTTTTCTAATATTTTCTTTGTGATCTAATATATAATTAATGTTCATGAGTGCTTCATGTACACTTAAGAAGAAAGTATACTCTGTATAGTAAGGGTGTAAAATTCAGTATACACCCATAAGATCTATATCCTTATTTACTATTATCCATATCCTTATTTACTTTTGTCCCATCTTTCTTGTACTGAGTATGATGTGTCTGCCATTATTAGAATGTATCCACAAATGTACTCTACCATCTTTTTTCAGTTTTTGCTTTATGAAGATCTTTGCTGTGTTACTGGGTGCAGAGATATTCTTAACTGCTATATCTTTGTTGTTAGTTGTGGCTTTTATCATTTATGAGCATTTTTCTTTTTCACACTTATAGCTTTTTTGACTTGAAATTTACTTTGCCAGATAATAAGATCACAATTTCTGCTCTCTTTTTACCATTTGCTTGGTACACTTTTGCCCACCCCCTTATTTTTTAGCCACCTTGATTTTAAGGCTTCCTTTTGTATGCAGAATATAGTTGGATCTTTATTTGTAAGCCAAATTTAAAATCTTTTATTTTTAATAGTGTTAGGTTCATTCAAGTTTACTGCTATTACTTATATGCTTTATTTCAACTCTGTCATATTATATCATGATATGATCTTAAGTGCATTATGTTTTATTTTCTTCTGTTTCCTTTCCAGTTGATTGGTTTTGGCTGTTCTATTAATTACATTAATTTTGGAATTTAAGAAGGCTTTTATTTTTCTTCTAGTGATTAACTCTGCATTTGTACCATGCTTAATGAACTTAGAACTCTGTTTTCTTATCAAATCTATTACTTTCTGGTTTGCCATTTTTTTATGGTGTCATTTAATTCCAACCTTTTGATTATAGAAAATTTAAAAAATTATTTTACTTTCCTCTTCCTCTTTCCCTTTCTCTTCTCATCCCAGTTTTTAGTTGCATTGTTTTTAATTTGTTAGAACATATAACACTTAATATATATCATATAACATATAACATACTATTTTTCTGCCCTTACAAATTTTTTATTTTTGTCTTAGCTCTATAATTAAATATATTAAATATTTATCATCAGTCCTTTTGTGAAATTTTCCTAGTAATCCATTTGTTAAATGAATCCCATTCACTATTTTATTTCTTAAGAATGGCTTATGAGTACAGAATTCCCTGAGTTTTAAAAAGTTTAAACTTTTTATAGACTTGATGGACAACTTGTCTAGATAAAAAAATCACTGCTTCAAACTTTCTTATTTTAAAAATATTTTTAAAATTAATAAATAAATAAATAAATAAAATTAAGGTATGGTTAAATACAGTAAAATTCACCCTTTTAAAATTATACACTAGAATAACATTTTGAGAAATGTATATGTTTGTATAACCATCACCATTATCAAGATATAGAACAGTTCCATAATACCAAAAAAAATATATATATATATATATATATATATGACTTTTTGGAGTCATCTTCTCACTTTCAGTCCCTGGAAACTACTGATCTGTTTTCTGTCTTTATAGATTTGCCATTGAAGGAACATCCTTTAAATGTTTGAGTTTTTTGAAAGTATTGTTTCACTATCGCTTTGCTTTGTTATTTTTGTGACATGTAAGGCCAGCCTAACTTTATTGCTCTTGTACTATTCCTTCTTTCTGCCTGGAATTCCTGAGGATTTTTTCTTTATATTTAAAATGTAATGTTTTAGTTATATCTCAGAATTGATTGTTCCAGGTCAATTTTCTAGTACAGGGTTGAACCTATATATGTAGATTCAGACTCTCTTTTATTTCTGGAAAACATTCTTGAATTATAGTTTTAAATATTAATTCTATTTATGCTTTTCCTGCTTAATTTTGGAGCTGTAGATACAATGGCCTCTGAGCAGGTAAAATATGAATGCTTTGAGGTTAATGCATCATTGAAGCTCAATGAAGATTTCAAAAAAGCATATTTTCTCAGAAGTCATTATAAAATACCTATTAAGATAATCTACTACCACTGTATATTTAGAACAGGCTAATTAATTTTTAAATTTCATGACAGATTATTTTCTAGATGCATCAAACTTCTTTTAGGATTTGTGAACTAGATACACTTTCAATATCATTCCTTCTACGTAGTTTAATTCCATTATACACTCCAAGGAACTGGAAGCCTATTTTACTCCTTTGTGAGATGAGCATATCAGCAATAAATTCAAACTGAGATTTCCGACTTCCTAGTACAGGTAGTTTGTGGAATTGTGTAAGTTATTTTGGTTGTTTATCATAAATATTAGCTAGAAACAAAACTTAGTTTAAAATGAACAGGATGAAGAGATAGCAGAAACTCAAAAGAAAAAGTAAAACCCTCTCTAAAATCAATATGTGGAAACTTTCAATGCCTGAATTTTTATAGTGATGGTGTGAACTTGCACTTATATACTCAGTAATTAATTTTATCTCCTGTTTTCTTGTAAAAACATGAATTACAGACTCTATGAAGAAGAGTGACTATCATTGAGTGCCTATTTTTTGTCAAGCACTTAGTTTGGCAACATCAAAAAGGACTAATTAAAATATATTTTTAAAAGAAGATGATAATATTTTTGCTTCTTTGTATAGAGATGGTACTAGGTATATGTACCACCCAAAACACATGGGTGGGGGAATGTTTCTGTTACTGTCCCATTCTGTACATTTTAAGGCAACTGTTCGTTCTTTGTATAAAAATTACACTAAGCAATAGAGTATCTATGTATGATTTTAATATGTTTTAAAATGTCTGTTTTGCTTTTGAAAACTCTGCTACTGATTTATTTAATATATATGATGCACACATCCAATTCCTTCTGTCACACAATTTGTTTTTTTTTCATTTTCCAAGTGCTACGGGTAAAATAATTAACTTTATGAGTGTTTACTATGATACCTGAGACAAATTTATAACATAATCTGAGACTGAAAAACTGATAAAATTGTACTTACCATAAAGGATTGCAAGCAGAGACAGTGGCATGACAAGTAGTCCCACTAGCATATCAGCAATGGCTAGGGACATTAAGAAGTAATTGGTGGCATTGTGCAGTTTCTTTTCCATGCTTACTGCCATGATAACGAGAATGTTGCCACCTATTGTCATGATTATTATTACCACGATTGAAAGTGCTGGCCAGTTTTGTACCCCGTCTGGGAATTTAAAGCGTCCACCATAGGAGGTATTGAAAATGTCAGTTACTATAGCTGCTACTGGGCTCACAGAAATATCGCATTGCCAAACCAATAGGCCAATTAGGTGCACACTGAAAATTAAGAAGAAAAAAAAAAAAACAGTCAGGTATATATTATATGGCTTATACACAATATATTGCTTATACAAAACAATTGCTCTTCTATAACAATCATTATCATCTTCCTCTGCATATCATTTCTATTCTTTTAACTAAACCTCGGTATTTCTTCTTTCTATCCAAAGATTACTAACTTTTACTGAGTGATTATTATGAGTTAGGCACTTAGTTTACTGAAATATATATGCATAATCCCATTTGACCTTGTGCAACTACATGAGGTCAGGATTGATTTATATCCATTGTGTAAATGAGAAGACTGATTTTCAGAGAGGTTAAGTAACTTTCTCAAACCAATACAGTCAGTAAGTTGCAAGGGCAGGGTCCATACTCAGGTCCCACTGACTTTAAAGCCTGTGTTTTAAACTTTTACTGCAATCTGAAACTACAGTATTGTTTGATTTGCTGTAATGGTATATCCCTTATATCCTTTAAATATTATTTTCTCCTAGATATCCTCTGAGATAGCAGACAACAGAATGAAGCGAGATTTTTCTTAAAGGATCCAATAAGGTGACAAAAAAATTTCACGTTGCCTTCCTTCAGGCAGGTGTTTGGAAGAGTCACAGTGGGTTTTGACAACCATACACATGCATTTCTTTTTAGAACTTTTCCTACCTTCTCACATTTGCAAAGTGACTTTATGCTATTCTGATGGTTTCTTTTTTTTTTTTTTCCTTTTTGTCTTTTTTCATGTCCAGCAACGGGATCGCAACCCTCGGTGTTGCACCCGCACCTCGCTCAGCCAGTGAGCGGGAACCGGTCTGTAAGTGGGATCCGAACCCTCGGTGGGAGTGCCGCCGTGCTCCCAAGCCACGCACTGTAGCAGTGCGCCGCTGGGCCGGCCCATCTGATGGTTTCTTAATGTCTTGTGCTATAAACTTTCCTTCTATCTGACACTCTCCCCATTTCTGTCTAATGTTACCTGGGCCTCTTTCTAGGCTACATAATGATTTGTGGTGATGATTAATGCCGAGAGTTTGTTACTTTTCATGCACTAGGAATTAAATATCTTAGGTCATTTAGAGTGTACATTTCTTATGATGGTACTTAGGTAGATTCTAACAGCAGGAATTTCAGGCCAGGTGACAGATTAATGCAAAAGAGATGGACACAATTGTTTTTGCATATTTCAAATTAATTTCCTCATATGGTGATATGAGATTTATTCAAGTTATGTACATAAGTGTTCTCTCAAAGTGTAAGCTCCTTAAGTGTCTAATAAAATCAACAAATCCATATTTTTAATAAAATAGATAAGACAGATGATCATATTCAACATTTCTTGCTTAAAAGCAAGGAATATTATCTTAGAATGGCTATTTTATGTACAATAATAGTTATTTAATGAACATTAAACAGCACAATGAGGATACCTTTCCTAGATATAGTGGTTATTAAACCTGGATATTATTTATAGAGGAGAAAATTACTTCTGCTTGCACAATATATGCTAAATAATTTTCATGTGCCATACTTTCTGAATCAAAACTGGAACACTTAGCCTGAAAAAATGTTGGCATGATTTAAATTTGTCAAAATATTGTAATAATTTTCTAGCCTATTTCAAAATTATTTTTCTTGATTTCTCTTAGTAGCTTGTTAATACGGTTCTATGTCTTTAAAGATGATGAAGAAATCATGAACATATTTTGACTTTCTCATTCTACCATAGATAGAAAACAAATACTTCAGACATTTAGCTTAAAATAACCTCATCATTAGTCAAATCTACCTGATATTCTAAGCAACATGGAGATGGAGACATACATAGTAATTTTTATCAAATAATGAGAATTAATCAATAAATTATTTTAAATGTATTATTTTTCTGGAACATAAAAAATAAGGAAAAATAATTCATGATTCAAAAATCTATATCATAATTAAACTGTGATTAATATGAGTAGAAATTATTGAAATAAAGAACCAAATAAATAGAAGCAAGTTTTTGCTCTCAGCTTTGATTACTGTCACTATATTTGTTGTATTTGGCATGTGACCAGTGTCCCGGCTACATGACCTCAATGATTTTTTTGACCAGTCACTTAACCTATCAGAACATCATTTTTTTCATTTTTACAAGGATGATCTGTACCACGTGATTGTTATAAAATTTAAATAATGTAATAACTGTAAAGTCCTGAAATTAGTACCTGTCATAATAGGCCCTCAGTAAATGTTGAAGTTTACCTTCTTTTTGCCTTCAGAGTTAAACAAAAGTATTTTATGGTTGCTATACCCCAACTCGTGTGCTTCAAAATTTGCCAAGAATTTAAGTCCTGATTTTATTTCAAGACAATACCTATCTATGCAGAACGGGGCTTAAATTCACGTCTTTTCCAAGGTCTTTTCTGGACTACCTGATGAAAAACTTGTTTTTCCGGCATTTAATTTTTTTTTTCTGGTTTAAATTAGCTGATGATCATCTCAAGTAGTCCCACAAGTTTTATCTCAAATAAGCTGCCTTTTCAGTACTCAGTTGCAGAACCACAAATAAATTTATCCTTAAGCCTAAAGAATAGGGTCCTAGTAGAATATGTAGTCCAAATTAAAATTTTCTAAGTAAATTGTGAAAACATCAAAATCCCTTCACATTGTCTTTGAAAATGGTAGAGAAATGCAGAATAAGACTGTATGTTATAAAAATGTACGTGAAAAAACTATGCCCAATTACGAATTTTGTAATTTGACCATCTTAGAATTTTGGTGTAGAAAAACACTTCAAGTAGTTATCTTGCCTATCTCTACCAGTCAGAAATATTTTTCTTTTTCATTAAAGAGTCCATGAGACAAACACTGAGTTACTGAGGAGTCTCGTAGAGTCTAAATATATCTGTTGTGAATTACAAAATAAAGTAAGTGAGTAAATAAAGTAAGTACTTTATTGGGGTAGATTCTGAAAGAATATTTACTTTAGTTTCCTGGTTTCAATTAAATTCAGTTTAATAAATTCTTATTGAGCACCACTTATGGGCAAGGTTTTATTATTTTTATTGCAGTTCAATCCTATTTCCCCCAGTTTTGTAATCAAGAATTGGCTGTATTATAAGTAAACCTAATTTTTAATACTTATGTGCTCAGTGAAATGTATAGTCTTTTTACAAAAGAGGAACAGTTTAAGTCTTGCTCTTAAAGCTTACATTAATTGTTATTAAGCCCATAGAAATCTCATAAAATATGTACACAAAAGCCATAATTTCTCTGTGAATAATGCAAATAATTTACTCATTACTACTGAATTTTTAATGGAAATATAAATACATTCTTAGTAGACAAACAAAATGATCATATGATTTAAAAGTCTGAATACATTTTAAATCAACTGAGGTTTTGCATGATATATGACAATGGGCATTGTTAGAAGAGATGAATTGTTCCTTGTTTCTCCCAATAAAATGAAAAAATTGTATATGAATTCCTTAATTTCATAGCAGAATGATTTGATGCCCTGCAAGACAGCCTTACATTTTGGCAGTTGGCCCAATGCTATTTACTGAGTTGGCACAGGCTCATGGAGTGGAAACATTTGTCTTTCATTTTCCCATATCTGACTCTTCTTTTCCCTTTTTTGCCCATTCCTTTCTCTGTTGTCTGCTCTAGTTCTCTTAGAATCATGCATACTTGAGACTATCATCACCACAATGTCATCCAAGATGGGCTACAGCGATGCACATTGCTGAGGATCCAGTATGGATGTACTTTCATCTACACTACACTGTAAATGTTTTCCTGGGTGAGCTCTTTTGCAGGAATTGTAGAGGGGACTATGTAGAAGCAAGAAGATTCAGGGCTTCTCAACTGCACTGATCAGAGTTTATACAACTTTGGATGTCTTTTTCCATGCCCCATTTCTCAAAGAGTAGGTTTGGAAGACACTACTCCAACGTGTTACTATGTTGAAAAGAAGAAATACCTGGATTTGATCAAATTTAGAATTGCTTAGTACTTGAATCTGATTCTTTACCCCCTTTATGTTGCATTCTATTGACTTCAACTATTGGACCATTACATCAAGTCTTCCAAAGACGGCATTGTTTTCTTCTGTCCAGCTATATCTCCCAACCCATACCCCCTAACTTCTGACCTTTTCTTTTGCAATCTCAACTATTCTTCATAAAACCAAAGGCTTATAAAGACATTTTACTCTTTTGACTGTTCAGTTTATGCAAGAAGGAAAAGGAAAAAAAAAACTATCTCTTTTGTAAGTTTCACTCATGGAGCAAGCAATTATGAGCATTAAGATTATTTGAGTTGAGGGTATTATCACCATATTACTTGTTGAGTACATGGGCTACACTGTTTAACTAGAATCCAAATTATTGGTTTTTTCCTCATTTATTAATTTTGAATAAGAAACACCCAAATATTAATCTTTTGTGGTGCAAATCAGTTATGCAGATTGAGGCAAATATAGCTGAGTAGTCATATAGAAGCATTTTAAAATCTTTGAGCAAGCTCCCATAAAAGTTATATTCTTATTAAAATAATAAGTAATAACATCCTTACAGGAACGAATGCACCGCGTTCCTCACGTTCACCATGATTGCTTCAGTCTTAAGCAACCAAAGTTTAAAATTGAGAAGAGGAAATTAACAGATTGGATTCATCATATCATCCTTTTCTGGGGAGAGAAAAAAAAAGAAAATTAGTTAAAAGTTCAAATAACTTGCAAATCAAGCAATTAAATGCATTTATTTGGTGATAAGAAACAATCAATACTTAATTTAGCAGACAGGTAAGCATGTTATATTGCATAAGTGATAACAAATGGCAAAGAGCAGATTTTTTTCATTTATTTACCAATGCACAACCATCACAGTTTTTTCAAAAATATCTTGTATATACTTTATGTATATGGGGCTTCTACTAAATCTCCCCCTTTTATAGTACACATAGCTTCAAATCAATGTTCTGAGAAAAAAATGAAGACTATCTTCTTCTTAATTTGCAAACCATTGGGAGAAAGTGTTATTTAATAATTAAGTAGTGTGTCTAAAATAAAAATGTTTTATCTTATAGTAACATGGAAAATTAAAACAAGTTTTAAGCATTTTTATAAAGTTAACATATTTTGTATAACATTTCCAGTTTTTGTCTTCTTCCAAGTGAAGCAATCTGTGTTTCCGTAGATAGCTCTCTACTTTTGCACTAACCAACAATATTCTGCAGAGGGCAACAACAGGTTTATATCAAAGTATATGAATTGATCAAGTTTACTGTATTAAATATAGCAACTACTCTATGTACTAACTAGTAAGTAGCCAACAGATGGCGTGTTACAGTCAGAACACATGGAATAATACTGAAAATTACACACAAAAGTTCAGTCGCACTAGATGATTGCAACAAAAGCCTTTAATTTATTTTGTGGATTAAAAGGTGATGATATATCTTCTAAGGAACTAGGAAGGAAACATAAAATCCAAACGACTTATTAAAGAATTTCAGAGTGAATACCTTTTATTTCTATAGGCTATTTTTCAGAAAGTTATTTGTTTCACCACAAACCCCAACCGAATATTTTCACAGTGGATTATTTATCACTTAGCACTCAGCACACAGTATGTGAAAGTGTTGGCCAAGACTAAACTGGAAGCAAATATGCTGAGAATCTCTGCTGCTCTCCTTGTGGAAGTGAAATCTTTATGAGTGGAACATGTCACTCTCGATCTTTACACTGACATTGAAGATATACTCAGTGTGAGTTCTAGTGACTAATGTAGAGACCTTTTGGGTTTTTTGCCTAGAGATTCCTAACAAGGAATAGAGTGGCCAAACCTCTCTGTTCTCCATCTTGCCTTTCCTATATTTTCTATTTACAACTTTGATTACACTCTCTTCCCATACCAAATATCTAACTGTATTCTTTTCTATGGCTATAAAACTATTACAACAGTCAGGGTTGTGATACTAAATTCGCATGAATTGGGCTGTCAGTGAGAAGAATTTAGGGGAATGAGTGTGTGAGAGAGAGAGAAACAGAGGTTGAGAGTTGAATAGCTTGAGAACGTAGAATAACATTAAAGATCATCTGTTTTGCCTAGTTTGTAAATATTTTCAAAGAATATGAAAATGAAAATTTGTCTTGATAATCTTTCTTAAGTGTTTTTTAGCTCTTCCTGGAAATTTTGGAAGTAAAATTTCACTAGAACAAATCATACTTCCCTATGTTTCCCATCTCATTTAATAGCACTATTCTTCTAGTTTCTCAAGCTACAAATTTAATGTTTTCTCTCTTCTTTATACCTTCAGCCCTTGTCAGTTCTATCAGTGCTGCCCACACAAAAAATCTATCTCAAAATCATCCCCTTACTACAATAATGCATAAAATATGGCCCCTGCATCCATAAATTCAGAATATTCTGTGAGAAAGTGGGAGTGACATTAGCCAGACTGTTAGGCCATTTCTGTCCCATAGAATCCTGCCAGACAACGCATAAATCCCTTTTTCTGGGAGATTCAAAAATAAGTAACAGATAAAGTGGTAAGGAAGACCAAAAGGTCTTATCTTGCTTCTCAGCCCTCAGCAAATATAAAAATCTTTCATTTTTCCTGACACTAAAATAAAAGTATAAAAATGGTTTTCAATATTTATTTTTCCAGTATCCAAAGATTAGTGTAATGTAAAAGTCTCAAAGATAGAGTAAAATATGCTGTGCTTCAATAGGTTATAACAAAACAATTGAAACTGCCTTTGCCATAGTTTGATACAATAATCTTCTCATTAACATTTTATTTTCCACATTCTCAGCCATGGTAGAATCCCATTATTGTTAATCAAAATATTGTATTATTTTAAAAATGAATTGTTTCATGCTTTGAACATGTATGTTTTCCTGAGCATCACAAACAGAAAGGTTAAGCACCAAATATTTATTCTTGTAAGTTCCAACTTTATTAATTGACAAGAACAATAATTACAAAAGTATATTATATATATATATATATATATATACACACATCTCCAGTTTATTATATAAAATACCCTGAGGGCAAAATCATGTCTTTCTGTGATGTTAAAATTTTTGTTCTTTTAAAGTTCACTAAACCTGATAGAAAATTCTTCTGAACTGGTGGTAAAAGTTTAGGAATATGACATGATAGGAATAAATTATGTAAATCATGTAAAGCAAGTTACATGTTTCCCCAAATGGCCAGGACACTGTATTGATATTCTGCAACAAAGAATGTTTTGTGAGTAATTCTACAAAAAGGGGAGGGGATGCAAAACCTCTTAAAGCCTTGGATAAGATCAATTAACAGGAGAAACAAACAAACAAACTAAAAACCCAAAACAACTCTAATCAATCTTTCTAATCTGCATACCTCTCAGACAACTCTGATCATTCATAATGGAACTCAGGATTATGGGAACAAAAAAGAATACCTATGAATTCAAGTATTTAAGTTTGGGAAGATGTGTGTTTTATAAAATAAAAATAAAGATCACTTGTGAGATAACTAACAATACTTGATCAATTTTTAATGAGAATTTATTGCATTCTCATAGAAACTATGTTTGATCATGTAACAAAACATGTCAGAATATAAGTACTTATTTATATGTGTGTATTATATATGTGTCTGTATACATATGTGTATATACATACATATAATTTTGTGTATGGAAAAAGATTTATCAACCTGAAACCAATTAGCTGTCTTATGTATGGAGAGAAAATCACAGACTAAATTACAGAAATAAGCTCAGAATCAGTAAGTACACACTTAGACTAACTTCTTATTTCTTTCTGTTGCATAAATCACAAACCTTTTCATGCTCTCTCTAAATCATTGTAAGATCTTCAGGCATCAATAACAGTAACTACATTTGCAAAGGCAAAAGGGGGGACAAATATTAGTTTTTATATAGTTTTCAATAGTACAATTTTACACAAGATATTTCAGAATAACCTCAATTAATGTGAAATTTTAAGTAAGCACAAACCCATACCCTGAGCATTATATTCAATTGATGCTTATGAAATCTATGCTCATATGTCACGTGTCATAGAGCATATATCATTGAAAATAGTGTGCACACTTGAAAAGAATTGAACCAAAATAGGATCTCCACTGGACATTCAGAAAGAAATTTCAACCTATCAAAATCAATATCACGCATAGAAATACTTTAAAGCCATTATGCATAATCACCTTGGAAGTGAAAATAATAAAAAGTAAAAACAATGTAGGGAACAAAGGCTGGCACCAGTATGGCCTTTTAAGAGTTTTGTACTAAAGGCAAATTTTTGAGTAGAGGAGCCCTATATATGTACTTTCCACATAACTTCCACATTCCTTAGCCAAGTGTCGTGTACAAAGTAATTGGTTGATTTAAGGGAAAGGAAAGGGAGAGACTTGAAGAGATTTAAGGTGTGAAGTCAAAAGAACTTACCTAAGGATAAAGGAAGAGCTATGCTTTTCTCCAAATCATGTTTGGAGAGGTTAGAAGTTTATAACGTTACTGAAAATCCTGGACATTTCCTTGCATCCTCTAAAGCTAACCATTTATAATTCATTTTTACCATTACCTTTTCCACCTTTTGGCACTGAAAAAAGATTGGTCATGTTTCAATCACACTGACTGTCCTCAAACTGTCTTTTATTCTTTCTCTCCCAAACCTGGGATCAAACGTAATATTGATGAGTCTAAAAAGAAAATGCCAGTGTTTCTACTGATGTTCTAACAAAAATTGGAGAGTATAGATTAACCTATGAAAAGAGAGTTTACACTAGATTTTTTAAAATTCCATGAGCTCATCATGATGATGCAGTAAATTATTTTCTGTCATACTGAAGAGACTAAATCTGACACTGAATGTTTTTAGAACTTATAGAATACACAGTCAACTGAGCATTTTCCTATCTGAATTTTTTTAACAAAACATTCAGGAATTGAATAAGTACAGTAATAATACATACAGAGGTTTGGTTTTTGTCAGTTTTCACTTTTCAGAAATTATGGGCTCATAATTCAAAAATTATTCTTCTAGTTACTATACCCACTGAGTTTTCAGCAGATGGCTAGATCAAAAATGAATTAGTCACAACTGTTCAGATTAGTTCTGGGAAGATTAAATTAATGTGGCACAGATTTACAATAATTTTGGAGGGACTCTTTTAATTCAAAAATTATCCTTAGGACTAATGAATTTTGTTTGGAATTTTCCTTTTAATTTCAAATGTGCTCTAAAGACTTTTTAATAAAACATACTTTTTCATACTAAGAATTCACCTTTGCCAACTATAGTTAAATCAGACAATTATTTATGATTTTGATAGTAAGTTTCACTGTTATAATCAATGAAATGAAAGACTGCTCTTCTACCAGTAAACACAGGGTCTTCAAGGGTGTTAAGTTCATTTGGAAATGTGTTCTATGAAGTTAAATAAATTCAAGCCTTCAATCTTCAATTGTAAGGTGTTAATTTATTCTACAATTATAAATTCACAGAACTCTTAGGGCTGAAAACTTATGAGTGATCAAATAATCTAGTCCTTCGCTTTCAAACAGGTCTATGTTTAAGCCATTTCAAGA